TGAGAAAATAAGTCTTCAAAGTTACTTATGAAATAATAACTTTAAACTTTGTTAACCTGTAAATAATTTTAAAAGTAGAAGAGCAAAATGAAAAGCCAATATTACTAATTTTCAAAATAAGAAAATTTCTTTAACAAAGGAGGTAAATTTATAAAAAAGTGAGAAGTGGAAACCCAAGATTGTTCTAGAAGAGAAAAAATATAAAGAATACAGAATTTTTAAGTATTTCAGAAATAGAAAGTTTGTAAGGTAGTTATGAGCCTAGAGGGATTGAAAGAAGTATTTAGGAGTACAGAAACATTATAAAGTAGAAAAATAACTTATCAATCTGTGTCACAGGGAATCCTGTTTAGGGTAAATTTGTAACTTGGGGCAGATTATTCTGCGGCCATGGGGTATTTTTTATCCTCTTTTGAAGCACTTGGCAATACATTATTGCCAAGTTATCATTGTTCTAAATTATCATTTCTTTTTATCCTATACAGTAAGTATTCTATTTATTGATAAGAAAATAGGAAATTTATTGCCAAGACCAGGTCCAAGATACTTAGAATATATAATTAGATACTTATAATTATAATTAGAATATATAATTAAGTCCTATTCCACTTAGCAAGTGGAGCTCTTTGTATGCTTTATCTTTAGAGGAAATAGAATGATAAGAATTTATTTGAGCTGCAGAAGTATGTTTTCTTGAACTTGTAAAGAAGAATCTGAAGGTATATTAATGTTGTGTATTTCATTTGACACAAGTCTAATCTACCCATGTTTCAAGGGAAGGAAAACCAAAGGATGCTGTTAGTGCAGTGCTTGTTCTGCAAGACTGTTTCCAGGCTCTCCATAAGGCCCAGTCTAACACAGTCACATTGCTTTTGCTTTTGGGGTTTTTTTTCACCTCAGAGTATGAATAAGTTTCCCTTCTTGAAATAACCAGTGCAAACACACTCTCAGATACAGGAAATTAGAAGGAGCTCTTAGCAGCTGTGTTGTGGCAGTTCCTATGTGTCTTCGGAGCACTCCCTTTCCTGCCAGCTCTCTCCTGGACTCTGGACTGACATTCCTTCTGCAAGACTCACTGACTGCATGAGGAATGACCTCTCTGCAGTAAAGCTCTATTCTTGGATGGACCAGCAGAAGCAGTTCAAGGATTCATGGTGCTCTTCGGCGCAATCAGCCAGAGCTAGGAGACCAAACCTCTCCACAGAGCGCTAGGACAACTCATTTTGAAAGACTAATTTTTTCATCTATTCTTAGCGGATATATGTTCACCAGGTGACTTGAATCACTGAGTTGAAGATGTTATAGGAGACAACTCTCATTCCATTAAATCGGTGACAACCTGTTCTCTGCCTCTAGGAGTAAATTCTACTCCTACTCCAATTCAGATCTATTATGAGTACCACTACCTTCAAATATGCTTCATATTTTAGCTTCTTAGAAGTTATCCTTTACTAGTGCATATTGGTACCTGGACACAGACTGGCAAGTACATTGCCTTGTTCCCAAGAATACATATGAAAACAGGCATGTTATCCTGAGCTGATAAAACCATTTTTCATTTGCAGAAAGAAATGTTAATGCTATGGCAGTTTTCATCTTCTAGCAGTTGTTCTGCTTTTTAACCTTCCACCTTGATATGGGCTTAAAACTATTTTCTGACAGCAAAATCCTACAGAAACATGTCTAAATCACTGTGGATGCAACACTGTGGTGTGTCCTCCCTAACAACAGTAGCTGCTTTAGAATCTTTTGGTTTACTTTTGATCTCCATACTAGTAAGGACTGATCTATATCAGAGAGTCAGAATTTTCCTGGCATTTCACCTGCATATGGGACAGCTATATCTTGACATGAAAACTGATAACAACACCCTAAACATGTTCATCAAATGACTAGAATCTTGATTGTTTGGATTCTTTTTTTAATGATTTATAGATTGTAGAGGTATTTGATTGCACTGTTTAGTAAGTGCTACTTAAATTATATCTGCAGAAAAAACACAACCCTTCTGACAGACTTATTACTTTTTTCAGCCGTTTTTTATGGACTTGGATCAGTTTCACTGTTTAAATACCATATGAAGATAATAATAATTTATATGATACTTCCATAAATATTGTCATCTTTTTGCTATAAAACAGCATCTGCTTACCTGTGGGTTTAGATTGCCATATTTGCACAACGTAGGCAACAATTGCTGTCAGAAGGTATCACATGCAGCTACTGGAGCTAACAGTCTAACAGGAAAAAATATCCACTTGGGATCTCAGCCCTTGCAAATATAATTATATTAACTAATTGTAAGTTTAGCACTAGCAGCAAATTGTAAAATATGCCACTGCAAAGAAGACAGGAACCAATAAGAGGCATCCTCATGTCTCTGATTTGCTGCAATACTGCCTGAAATTCTCAGTGTCCTCTCATTCTAAAGCCAGTTTCATTTATCCAAACCATTCAAGTATACACAACATTTCAATTGAGTGCAAATAGGGAAAAGAACCTTTTGTGAGATGACTGTCACCTATGAATATATGTAATAATAATCAATCTAGGTATTTTTATGTCCTACTTTTTATTCAAGTAAAAATAACCTACTTATTGAATGTTATCCACATAGTTTAATGAAAAAAGTGTCTATTCAAGATGCCCATTCTGTGCAGATCCTGTCCATGGTGAAATTCATTGGAGTTGTGATCCTCAGGACTTTTAAAACATGTTCCTAGAAGTAGTCAACTCTAATCTGATTTTCTACTGAAAAATAAAAGGCTGTTATATTAAAAAAATGCTGTGTTTCTTCAGGACAAATAAAAACATGCAGTAGCATAGTCACTACCTGTCAACTGGGAGTTGTCCGTCCCTCCTTTCTGTGAACTCTCACTTAAGGTTTTTAAGAGTCTTGGGAATATATTCAAGAGACTAAACCTTCTAACCAGCTTCCTTTAAATTAGTTGTTACTCACTGGAATGCACAGGGTGTAATTTTTGAATTGTTACAGAGGAAAAAAAAATTGATTAATAGGGGACTATTATCTTTGTATGCCTTTATGTTGTTATGTTAAAGGTCATGAAAGAATGTTTAAAATTCAAACTTTCCTGCCATAAGTCAGATAGTACACCATTATACTCCAGGTGTTTTACTGGCATAGAATATAGTGTCAGAAAGTGAGTGTTGTGGAAATTGAGAGCACTCCTATGAAGGACAAGAAGTCTCCCTGTGATATTTATTAAGTGGCTGCAAAAGTACTTGTTATTAGATTCACAAGTGGGGTTAGAGCCCATGGACAAAAGATTACTTTCTGAATCAGTTTTCATTTTAAGCAAGACTTTCTTTTTTTTATTTATCCCTTTGTAGTCATTAGAAGCAAAATGTATAGCACATTAATCAGATGTTGAGGTAGGCCTTGTAAAAGAATGATTTAACCATACTGATTTGCCTAGAAAAAATGATCTACTGGTAGGTGGGTTGAAAGAGTTGATAAGATTTTACCTATGATTATGGTGCTGGGTATGAAACCTCAAGTACACAATCCAGAGTCCAATTGCGGCACTGGACATCTGTTGCTTCAAAGTAGAAGAAAAATTAACCAATTTGAGGTCCTGTAATTATGCCTTTGGTTAGATAATCTGAAATACAATCCTCTTTAGTCAATCTTACGAAACACCTGGTAAGCTAGAACTATAAGGATTGTAAAACTTGCTGTACAGTCAGCTTCCTGGTTAAAGATGAAGCAAGAATATGTGCTCTGCTTATGGAAAGCAAACAAAATAGTGAACTAGGTGACCTTCAAATACCCTCAAACATTATCATGCAGTATATATATAGTGATTTCCATTTGAGCCTGACTTAATAAAAATTACATTGATTCGGTCCAGTTTGCAAGTGAATTCACAGAATAAAAGAGGTGTGACTCAGTAGGTTAGGAAGACAGAAGTCACCCACAGCTCTCTTTCTGGATCACAGGTCACCAGGTCACTCACTGGGGTATCAGCAAGAACTGCCACAAGGGGCTAGTCTGAAGGGCTGCTTGCTGTCAGTTCACAGTGCTCAAAGATCATCAAAGTAGCATGTGGAACAGGATTCTGCAGCCAGGGTGAGCTGAACCCAGTATGTGAGTATCTAGATAAGGAGGAACAGTCTAACCTTGCCAAAGCCAGTGGGAATTTATTTCTGAAAATGATTTTGCTAGGAGCTGGTGTCTCCTGCCTCTTTCTGTGCAGCCCTTACCACACTCCACGCTTCACATTCTTCCAAGGTTCTGTACCTTTACCAGCCTGTAGATTTACTGGTCTGGAAATACTTCTTGGTCCAGGTTCTCTGTTTGGCTCAGACTATTTTTGTCTAGTCAAAGATCGTTCAAAAAGTCCAGCTGTCACAAAGAATCCAAAGGCAGAAGTACAAAAAAAGCCAAAGCCCCGTCTGTTCTAACCTGCACTGTGGCCTCTTCTGACCAAGCAAGTCTGACTCACTGGTAATGACCTCGTCTGGTCTTTGCATGCATAGTAACAAATATGATCTTAAGCACCCTCTGCTATTTAGCAGGTCAAGTAGACCCCTCATCTGTTGCAAAATTGACAGCATCTTGCCTCTATTCCCTAGTGAAAACAGTAAATACACTGATTCCTTACGGGAACAGGTCACCCTGAGAGGCTGTTGAATCTCTATGGCTGTAGACAGTGAAAGACTGACTGGACGTGGCCCTGAACAACCCACTACAGTTTATCCCTCTTAGAATAGGAGGGTTGGACTAGATGAACTCTAGAGATAATTCCAACTTTTATGATTCTATGGCTAATTGGTTGCATGCCTATCACCCCTCATTTACCTGTCTCAACAATATCATGACTTGCAGGCCCAGCCACAGCAGAGCTGTCTTGTCATTTTTCAAGGCTTCTGCTCTCAGAAAAGACCTTGATTCAGCAAATGATCATTACACACTTTGTCTGTATTGAGTGGGAACACAAAACAGCTAATACTTCAGAAGAGAATACACAATCATCTTCTCTAAAAGCATTTTATTTATTCATCTGTTCACATGCTGTTTACAAACCTATGAGTATCATTATAAGATGAATCATGTCACTGTATTTTGCTTTAAGACCTTGTTTCCAAAAGAAGCAGATGGCAGAGACTGACAACAGCTTCTGAAGACATTCATCTCCTTATGCATGTACAGTAATGAGGCCTTCCAAAAACAGAAAGGGTAAGACTTTTCCTTACTGAAAGGTTATAATGGCCATTTTCATCAAGTATCATCTATTTTCTTCCTTGGTAAAACAGGAAACAAGAGAAGAAAAGAAGATTATAATGAAGGGACTCCATAGCATTTTAGAAGCATTGGCAACTTGTCAACATTAGTGTTTCCCAATTAGATGTTCCCATGTACTCTATTTACTGCAGTGTATCATTATTTTATAAAAATCCAGGATACTCCACCATGTCTTGGAGTTGAACACAGGAACACCCAAAAGTACATAGCAGGAATAATGGGCTTAGATTTGGTTTATTTTTGCAGATGGAACTGGTTGACAAGTTCACAGTTTGCACATACTTGTCTCGGTAGCTGTCACAGGCTGCAAGTCCTTCACCTGCAGCCCTGTGGAGCAGTTGGGCAAAGCACTGTGGAAATTGCCACTTGCACGACTGCAGTTCTGTAAGTGGAGATCCCAAAATTTGGGACACTGGTCAAAAAGTTCTGGGCTGTTTAAATTGGTCTGCAAGGCCAAACTACAGGATGCACCTTATCTTGGTAACCAGATCTCTCGGCAAATTGGTTCTGAGTGTGTCTCATAGCTTCCAATAGTCCCCAGTTTTATTCACTTCATATACCAGACTGTTAGCCTGAGTATCTTCAGTAATATCTTAAACCTTATATTTTGAAATAGAACTTTTTAATGTCTGAGATTTGTTAGTTTTTCTTTTTAATTCAACTAGTCTGCTAGCAAATATTAAAACAAAACAAAACAGAAACCAAACAGCTTAACAAAACAAAACATTGTTTTAGTTTGAACAAAATTATTTTAATTTTTCAATTTCCTGTCTTTCTTTTCTAAAAGAGGGTGGAAGTTAAGTTATTCTAAGGACTGGAGCAATGTTTTGTTGCAGTAACAAAGAAAAAAACCAACATAATTTTCTTTGACACAAACACAGTTTAAAGACAGTAGCAAAGATGAAAGTAATAATGAAGGTGATGGAATGAACTGGCGTTTCACACAATAAAAATTAAAATGTGTCAAGGCATAATAAAGTTTTTTCCAGAGCTTTTAGAAGTGAAATATCCTTGCTTTGTTTCCTTCCACACTTCGGTCTTTTATAGTTGATCTGGAACAAGTTTTGGGGTAGGGTTTTTGTTTGTTTCTTTAACAAAGTAATATCTTATAAAATGCTACATATTTCACCTTTTTTTTTTCTATGACATGCTATATAGTGCTGAGACACTGAAAAAGAAAGTTATTAAAAATTATAGGTTGCCCAGCTCTTTATAGGAACTAACTAGATTGCACCTGTTGTATTTTATAGCTTTTCATATTAGTCCCTTTGTCAGCAGTAAATGAGTTTTCATACTTGCAGTTGTACAAGTAGGTTTCCTATTCTTTCTTGGTTGAAGCAATCAACAGCTGTGATTACTTCAAGAGAAAAAAATTAAACTGATATGTACTGGCAGATACAAAAAACATGACTTCTTTCATGAACCAGTGAAAAAACAGTCTGTTTTTGTTGTTATTTAGTGATTGTGCCCAGCAACCGGAGGTTCTGAGGCTGGGCTGCCACTGGTGGCCATCGTGCTAGGCCCTCAGAGTGAATGTGTTGGCTTCGCTCCCCGGGTGACATCTAAACTGAAAAACAGACTTTAAACTAAAGAGGGTAGATTTAGATTAGATATTAGTAAGAGATTATTTACTGTGGGACACTGGCACAGGTTGCCCAGAGAAAATGTGGATGCCCAAACCCTGCAAGCGTCCAAGGCCAGGCTGGGTGGAGAACTGAGCAATCTGATCCAGTGGAAGGTGTCCCTGCCCATGGTAGGGGAGTGGAACAAAATGATGCTTAAGGTCCCTTCCAACTCAAACTATTCTACGATTCTGCAAGTCTATGGTTCTCTCAGCAACAACATGGGCCTTTTCCATCCTAGACTATTCTCAAGGCAAGAGCCTGACTTCACTGTTAGACATGGATATAAGGGATCTTCTCCCCTGAGCCAGCTGCAAAATGCAGCTCAGTTTCAGATGGCTGGACACACAGAATGAGGCATAGCTAGACTCATACACTGTCTTTTACAATAGATGGAAGCAGGCACTGAGGAGAAAAAGAAAACAGAGCAACCCTGCATGATGCTTCTGTATTATTACCGCTTGTGACTCCTTCTATCTCAGAGGATTTCATAAACCTAGTATGGCATGGCTGTTAAGGAACCTTCAAATGTACTTCAAATAAGTACTTTTACAAGTACTTTTCCAGTCTTCCCTTGAACACAAGTAAAATTTTTACATCTGCAAAATCTGTTAAGTATTTACTACCTATTGCAGCAACCTTTTGTTTGCTTTTAATACAACTAGCCTTATTTAATATCTCTAGCTCTTCTATTGGCTCCATCCCTCAGCATTAGTATGCCACTATGATGTCATTTGGGAGAAGAAAGCTGGACCAGTGCTGCCACTTTTCCCAGAGTATGCCTAACAGAGATGGTATTATCTAACAGGGAAAAGTAAAAGAAAGGTACATGAACCTGGAGTATTCCTCCTAATCAGTGTCTTGGAGAGTTCCTGCACCTGTCTATCTCAGTTTGCCAGCTGTTAAATCATGAGAAGGATTTTTTACATTTTTTAAAATAAGCATACTGATAAAGAGCACTCTACAATACAAGTGATAACCTGTGTATTCTGATTCTAGGCTGAAATTCTTGAACATAACCTAGAAAGAGACAAGCACGCTAACCCCAGAAGAGCAGCAGGGCTGGTGAGTAGGGCACTCTCTGGGGACTACGGGAGACATAAACTTAAATCTTTTTCAAAGAAGGGTTCTTCTATCATGGAAGTGTCCTAACCACTAGGCAACAGTGACATTTCTAGTAGTAGAGCCTGTCCTGCCTCTTCTGCTTCCCCTTTTCTCTTCGAAAATACCTAGTACTGGAAAAGCTCCTGCAATCTCAGAAAGTATCAGAAGCCCAGAAAAGTATTTATCACCCTGCAAATGTAGTTTCTGATTAAAGATCAGTGTTTTGCTCTGGAAGAAGCAGCCCTTGGTGTTTTTCTCTTGCCCTGCTAGGTGATGCAATATGTTGTCTCTGCTGTGGCTTCCACATGAGGTGGCAACAGAGAGTCTCCACTGTCCCCACCAGCACCACAGGAAGCTATAGGCGAGCAAAACTGTACACCCAGGGGCTACAATCCTCAGGCCTTTTTACTCAGCTTTTAACAGCACAGCACTTTTCACCTGTAGCCTATTGAGCATGCAGAAAAAGTGACGGGTTTTTTTTGGGTTACATTCATGCCTAGTTGCCAAGCATGCCAAAATCATGATCACTAAAATAACAGTGCAACTTAGATACCTCTTTTCAGTAAATCTGTGTCCACAACTGAGAGATCTGCCTAATAAGCCCAAAATTCACCTCCTGCAAATGTAGCTTCCAGCACTACTCATGGTTGCAGATGTAGGGCCAAGAACTTTGTTCCAGTCCAGGAGTCTGCAAGTCACTTAGCCACAATCTCAAATTCCTTTTTACATGCTAAGCTTTTGTTCTTGTGCATCCAGCATTCTTCTTCAGGCCAGTCCTGTTTTATATCTTTATCAGTGATCTGGACAAGGGGATTGAGTGCCTCCTCAGTCAGTTTGCAGACAACACCAAGTTGGATGGGAGTGTTGATCTGCTGGAGGGCTGGAAGGCTCTGCAAAGGGATCTGGACAGTGTGGATTGATGGACTGAAGCCAAGTGCATGAGGTTCAACAAGACCAAGTGCTGGGCCTGCACTTGGGGTCACCACAAGCCCAGGCAGCCCCAGAGGTTGGTGGTAGGGACTGGGAAGCTTCTCGGTGGAAAAGGACCTGGTGGTACTGGTCCACAGTGACTGATCATGATCCAGCCTGTGCCCAGGTGGCCAAGAAGGCCAATGGGATCCTGGCCTGTATCAGCAATGGTGTGGCCAGCAGGAGCAGGGCAGTAACTGTTCCCCTGTACTCAAGCACTGGTGAATCCTGTTTTCAGTTCTGGGCCCCCTCTACAAGAAAGACACTGAGATGCTGGAGCATGTCCAGAGAAGGGTAACAGAGCTGGGGAAGGAGGCAGCTGAATTAGTTGGGGGTGTTTAACCTGGAGAAAAGTAGGCTCAGAGGACACCTTCTTGCTCTCTAAAACTACCTGGAAGGTGGTTGTAGCCAGGAATGGGTTGGTTTCTTCTCCCAAGTAACAAGGGAAGGGACCAGAGTAAAATGGACTCAAGTTGCACTTAAGGCAGGTTTATAATAAATATTAGGAAACGTTTTTTCAGTGAAAGGGCTGTCTGGAACGGGCTGCTCAGGAAAGAGGTGGAATCACTATCCCTGGAGTTATTTAAAAGGGGTGTAGATGTGGTACTGAGGAATGTGGGTTAGTGGTGGACTTGGTGGTGCTGGGTTAACAGTTGGACTTAATGGTCTTGAAGTTCCTTTACAATCTGAATGATTTTATGGTTCTACTTCCAGTGGTGGGTTTTATTTCGTACATATAAGAGGATAATTATAGTGACCAATAATTCTAAACAGTTCCATAGAACACACATTTCCTAAAAAATAAATAACCTGGATGTTCCATAAACTGAAGACCAGCTTTGCTTCATTGTTTATGCTATATTTTTGTCTAAGTCTCTAAAATATGCTGTTCTAGTGGAAATCTATTGCCTGTCCCTTTCCCTTATATCAAAGTATGCAGTAAACCTCACTAATATCTGAAAACATGAAACATAACTACAAAAGAGCATATCACTGCCTTTAAACTGTCATATTCAAAGAAAACAAACACCCATCTGGTATTTTTTTGGAGCATTGTGTTACACCTTCTGTTAGAAACACACTGTTGAACATTATACCAAATTAACATGTCTCAGTAAATCAAAGCTTACCCTAGGTCTTGGCTTGTTCTGTCACAGGGAATTCAAATGTCAGTGTGTGAAAGATTTAATTCTCTGCTCCACCTGCTGCTGATGCCAAAGGCTGAAGAGGGTGATGTCTGTATGCAATGTATAAAAACTTGTTAAACAATTGTGTAACAACCAAAACACTACCTAAACAAAAACCCGAAACAACACCATGATATATAATTAATCATTTTCACTAGCTTAAAACCAAAGACAGAAGAAAAACCATTAGAAAAATAGTTGCTCATTGCAATTGCTTCTGATTTTAGTAGAGACATTAAAAGTCAGCTGTCTTTTCAGAAGGCAGATGCTTAGCCCTTAAAAGTTTTTGCCTTACCAAAAATTTTGTTCCATGAGTAAAGTGCTACAACATCAAGTCATATCAAGATTACAAGAGGGTGTGACAGTTCTCCTTCTCCTGTTAGTTGTAGTAAGCAAACCAATAAGCAGGAATGATTCATGAAATACCAGTCTAGCTCTGTTGCACCCAAAGTCAATATCAGAACTTATTTTCTTTTTTATGCATACAACTGTCAGTGTTTAAAACAGTATAGATGTGCATCTTTTTGAATACCTCGCAAGACATTTGGCTTCTAGTAGCTACTACTTGTAATTAAGGGGTCTTTCCATTCCAGTGTAAAAATGAATATACCTCTGAAATCCGAAACAAAGTTCATCAATTAAATTCCAGAAGCAATGATAATAATTCCAGCTAGATGAAAATTCTGTGCTTTCTGTTTTGTTAGAAACAACACAAAGATACCTTTTTAGTTATGTTATGGATGTAATTCAAGCCACTCTAAAAGCCCTGGGTTAGGTGTATCAAGGAACATTTACTTTCTCCAAGCACGTAAAAGATGTCTAAGACCTTTGATTTCTCAAAATGTTGATTATTTATGTTTTATGAATTAGGAAAGTTTCTCTCTACTTCTGTAGATTATTCATTGCAGTAATAAACATTAAACTTAATTCTGCAGTCATCCACAAAGACAGGAAAAGGCCATTGGACCTTACTTTGCAGTGTACAGTGGAACATTCAGCCATCTAAAAAGCCATTGAAGTGACAAATCACCTGAGGCCTTTATAGATATTGGACCATTTTTCTTCTGGGTTGTAAACTAGTAAATTAAGTTTTTGACAAGTTCCTTGCTCATTCTATTTATTCACTGCACCTGGAATTTTCAAGAAGTCCTAAATTGCACTCAAAACTTTGAAAATATCTTGCTAAATGTACTTTGCAGTAAATTTCCAAATGTGATTGAAAGAGCTGAATGCCCACTCTATTTCAACTGAACAATTACATTTTGGGTAGAAGCTGATGCTGGGAGGCTTTAGACTTTAGATTAATCTTAGTGCACACACTAGACTAAATTCTCTCCTTCTCCAAAAGGCATTCTAAAACAGAAAATACAGTCCTTCCTTCCTTCCTTCCTTCCGTCCTTCCGCCCTTCCGCCCTTCCTTCCGCCCTTCCTTCCGCCCTTCCGCCCTTCCTTCCGCCCTTCCTTCCTTCATTCCGCCCTTCCTTCCTTCCGCCCTTCCTCCCTTCCTCCCTTCCTCCCTTCCTCCCTTCCTCCCTTCCTCCCTTCCTCCCTTCCTCCCTTCCTCCCTCCCTTCCTTCCGCCACTTCCTTCCTCCCTCCCTCCCATAAATACATTCTGATAAATATGCCCCTGTTTTTTGTTCATTTTGGTTTTTTGTCCTGTTTACCACATGGCTGCAAGAAGCCTTCACAGTCATCTCATCCTTCCTGTAAAAAGGGATCAGCTTTATCTAGGCCATTACTGACTAATACTTGTTTTATGTTTTCTAACGATCCTCAGTGGCAGTCTCAAATCAAGGTGTTCCCACACTTCCTTCTTCTTGACGTTATTTTTTTTCCTCTCTGTGTCTATTTTGAAACTTCCTTGTTGTGACTGCAGCTTGCTTGGACTCACAACAATCATAGGAATGGATTATATGCTTCCTGCTTTGCTTATTTGAAGTTATCATGGTCCACTCAATCATCTCCCTAATTTGTTCAATCATTTCCTCGCAAATCATAAAGCTGCAGCTATGGAAAGACTCATGTAGCTTTTTAAAATCTATAAAACAGGCTACTAAATATATAACAAGAAACTATCTAAAGTAAGCTGTGCACCACTCTTGAGATGGGCTATGTTTCTGAGGGTACAGATGGATAATCCTGCTTTCCATTAAGTTTTCTTGCTGTTGTGCAAATTCTGATGAGCATGGTGGTTCTCTAAAGCATATGGGAGAAATATAGCTCCCCATTCCTTCATTCAGGAAGCTACAGATGTAAGCAGGTGGAGCAAACAGAGTAGATGTGAAATTCTGTCATTTTTGATGAGCATATTTCTACGTGGTTGTTGCTTTTGCGACTTCCATTTAATACCTTTCTTAATATGACATGGAGAATTGTTTTGTTAGTTGAGGACTATTAAGCTCAGAATTTGTAGAGTGGAGCATCTAACTGCTCTTTTTAAAAAATTACTATGTTCCATGCACAATTTTGAAAATTGCTTGAATTTTTTCCATATCAGTTCATGCTGTGAAGGACATGCAGGAAAGAAAAAAGAGTATGCAAGCCATATACAAAACCGCACAAACCATATACATTTTATGTTACCTAAATGCCAAGAACTCAAAGTTAGTACCTCTGTCTTCTAGAGTGAAATTCCTGAGGATCATTTTTCAGGAATATAGTTTATTATCTCATTATTTTATAAAAATACCCTTAGATACAATGTCAGAAATTTCAAATTGATGAAAAGGACACTGGTTAAAGAGAATCTATAGGGCTCAACCATATTGCCTATATTCCCTTAATATCATCAGCAGAAAATATGAACACTTTCTCTGGCATGCCTGGAACTTTCCTTTGTATAACTAAATACACCTTTCTGCAGAGGGTGGTATAGACAGTTCACTCTTCCTTAGACAATCCAGTGAGAAAACAACTGCAGTATGGATTGGCCATTCATGCAGAAAATATCTACAGAGTATTGGGTAGCAATTTAGAGTATACATAAAATAACACATCCTTGCAATAGCTATATATCTAGTCTTCGTATATCCTTCTCCTTTATGCTTGTCAAGCCTGTTAGCATTCCAGTGATAGGTTAGAATGGCATAATGGCTTACCTAACACAATTTAGGTAAGCACATTTAGCACAATTTATCCTTTTTTTCTTTTTCATTTTATCAATCCAGCTGTGGAGTTAGCTACACTTAAACAACTCAACATGTGCTTATGTAACAGCTATGTTCTTTAAAGATATAAAGAGCAAGTAGGATATAATCCAGTCAAATAATTTTTCAAATTTTTCAAATATTCAAATAATACTTTGAAGCATTATGTTGCTGCAGATATTTCCACGGTATTCCAAGTTACATTGTAAAATCATTTCCCTATTGGTCCTATATACCAGCTGCTTGCTGACATCACCAATAATTTAGCATTGGAGACATCCAAAGTAATGTAACATTTTTCTTCTTCTTCATGGCTATGCTTGCTTTCAGACTTACGCCTCTGTGTTTTTCTTCCCTTCCAGGTAACGCATTTGTGGTGAGCCTAGCTGTGGCTGATCTGGTGGTGGCCTTGTATCCATACCCACTGGTGCTCTTAGCTATTTTCCACAATGGATGGACACTGGGTGAAACTCACTGTAAAGCAAGTGGCTTTGTGATGGGACTAAGTGTAATAGGCTCTATTTTCAACATCACTGCAATTGCAATAAACAGATATTGCTACATATGTCATAGTTTTGCCTATGACAAAGTATACAGCTGTTGGAATACAATGTTGTATGTCTCCTTAGTCTGGATATTAACAGTAATTGCAACTGTGCCAAATTTTTTTGTTGGTTCTTTGAAGTATGACCCACGCATCTATTCATGCACGTTTGTCCAGACTGCAAGCTCCTACTACACAATAGCTGTTGTGGTCATTCACTTCATCGTTCCTATCACCATTGTCAGCTTCTGCTACCTTCGAATTTGGGTTTTAGTGCTTCAAGTTCGAAGACGAGTCAAGTCAGAAACAAAGCCAAGGTTGAAGCCAAGTGACTTCAGAAACTTTCTTACCATGTTTGTTGTTTTTGTGATTTTTGCCTTTTGCTGGGCACCTCTAAACTTCATTGGACTGGCTGTAGCCATTGATCCTACGGAAATGGCACCAAAAGTTCCTGAATGGCTATTCATTATAAGCTACTTAATGGCCTACTTCAACAGCTGCCTTAATGCAATAATATATGGTCTTCTTAACCAGAATTTTCGGAATGAATATAAACGAATTTTAATGTCACTGTGGATGCCAAGACTTTTCTTCCAGGACACATCCAAAGGAGGAACTGATGGCCAGAAGAGCAAGCCTTCTCCTGCTTTAAACAACAATAACCAAATGAAAACTGAAACCTTGTAAATGTGTAATAGTCAATGCAAGAGATTGTCATGGAGAAAACCAAGATCATAGTTGTAATGTTCTGGTCATTCCTGCTTAATTTTGGGGAGTTTCCAATTGGATCACACTTTATGACTGGAATACTGTCTTCATAGTAAAGCAAATTGCTCTGGATTTATGATTTATACAAGATATTCATTGAAAATGTGTTTCAGAATTAAAGCAGCAGGTGGGTGCAAGCTGTTTTAGTTCTGAGAGCTGAATCCTGCTTCCAGACATATGAATGAAGTATTTTTTTACTTCAGCGGGAGTTTTGCATTCTTTATACAAGATCAGGATTCATTTCTTAGAAGATGTAGTGAGTCTATGTGTACAGCAGCTCATCAAGGCTCCAGAGTGGTATTTTCCTCCCTTCTGTGTCTGAACAGACGGTGAGACAGACACTCTATTGTCCACACATAAGCCAAACACTGCGTCTCTGTGCATGTACTGGTGGCAGTAATGGTGTCTTTCAATCCATTTTGTAAACTGGAGAGAAGAATATTTGTGTAAAAGCAAATATTAACATTAGAGACTTTCCTCACAGGTTTTTCATACTTACATACACTGAGAATGGGAATAAAGTGTGTCTATACTGTTCATCATCTGTGGGTAAATTTACGGTAGATAATGTAAGTGGTTGATTTCTCATAGCTTTACCTTACATAATATTCTTTAGAAAAGAAAGAATTTTTATTGAAGTTCATTTATTTACCAAAATATCTATATAAAATGTCATTTGATGCACTTTAGCACACCTTACTCATTTGTGACAGACTGGAAATTATAGTATATGACCTGTGATCTATGGAGTGGCAACTGAACACTAGACAGGGTATCCTAGATCATCTCAAATAATGCTAGACCAAAAGAAGAAGCCCTTTTGACTATTATGGTAGCTGATATACTTGACTCACATGTCTACATCCAATCTCGAACAAAACCCACTGCTCATGTCTAACCTAAGACAATCTTCAAGGCTCCCTGTAGTGGAGATATGTTTCCTTCCATCTGTGATGATTAACACACACCCAAGTGTAAGATGAATTGCTTTGTGGAGGTGCTGGTCTCCTTTCACTGACTTTAAAAGCAGCTTTGATTACTAGTTCAAACACCTAATTTTGGATAGCTAGAGAGGGATTTATCTTGCTTAATTTGGGATGAACCCAGTGTAGATGTTTGCACACAATCCATTTTCTAAATACTCTCAGTAGTCCTTACAGTTCTAGGAAATTATTCCTTTTCTTTTGAAACAGATATCTTTATTGATCAGGAGAGCTGATCAGCTGAACTCAGTAATTGTACCTTCACTGACTGTAAAAAAGATCAGGTAGCTCACATACACACATTTCAGGCAAGGACAGGTCATCTTAATCCCATAAATAGTTTACCTACCTAATAGTTTCATATTTGCAGTTGATAAAAATATTATTTTCCACTTTACTTTTAAACTCAGCTCAAATTCCAACTGTATTTCTGCTTTTCCAGGTAACACATTTTAACAATGACTGTGCAGATCAGATTACAATTTGGGCTATCCTCCAGAGCATTATAGTAATTCATACAATGTGGTGGTACAATCTCTAAATCAGACTAGGAATCTGTGTGCAAGCACACAGTCAATGAGTTTATTTTATCATTAGGCTTGAAATGCACATTACTCTTAGCATTTCTTAGCAGTGCTGTTCGGGGTAGAGGAGCTAGGTCTCTGGTAAATCCAAGTCAGGTATTGAAATGGGACAGTGAAGAATTCAGGTTGGTATTGCATTCCAGTTTGGATTTCCTGACCTGGCTATTATGAAAAATATTTCTGTAGTAATATTAATTTGTACAGCAAATATACTTCTGAAGCCATAAAGATGTATTAAACATCACCCTTATGTTGCTAGAGTGATAGAAAAATATCAAAGTACCACAGTATTTTGAATGTTGTATTTGCTTGCCAAAAGCCTATGTAAAATACAGCAATGTAACAAATGTGATTATTATTTTAGCTGCTTTCATGTCCTTCACATGATTTCTGATAATCTCAGAAATTCAGTACCCTCAGACTCATACAGCAGTAAGCTGATAAGAAGCTGAAAACTTTGTGCATAGGGGTAATAACGAGATGGGACAAATATAACCTCGTGGCAGAAAATAAAAATATTGTGGCTAAAAGTAGCAATCATTAATAAGTAGGTTTTACCTGGAATGTAATTTTGTAAGTCTGAAACAATTTTGATATGTGTTGTCTCTCTTCATGACTTCTACAGCAAGCTACAGAATCAATATACATTTTATATATATGTGTGTGTGTGTGTATATTGTATATATATTTCTATATATATACAGTATACATGATACAAAATCAATATACATGTATATACAAAGGTAAAATTTCCCCTAGAGTTAATAAGGAGTTCCAAAATCTCTGAAACTTGTAGGAAAGAATATAAAATTTGATTCCTGACAATCCTGCTTTTTCTGACATCTCTGAGTACTCAAAATTTTGACTTGAAAGTCAAAATTGGTTGTCTGACTTACAGGTGAACTATTATTAGAAGTAAATTGATAGAGCTCGGTTTATCTCTCACTGGAATGAGTCAGAATAGAGTCCAAAAATTATTGGTTTGGCTCCATAAAGTATATTTAAATGTTGGAACCACTTCTTTGGCCATAAAAATGAGCTGCTATCACTCTCAATACTCATGAGGAGAAGACTTGAAATTTGTATAAAGTCATTTTACAAATTATATCTGCTCTTTAAAAATTAAATATCACTTTCAGAATTCTTGTTCTGATATGTTCCCAACTATCCTAAATGAAGCTCACACAAGTGATTGAATAGAATCACTGAGTCATGGAATGGCCTGGGTTGGAAGGGACTAGAAAGATCATTTAATTTCAGCTACTCTGACCTGGTCAGGGACACCTTCCACTAGACCAGGTTGCTCAAAGCCCCATCCAGCCTCGACTTGAAAAGTTCCAGGGATGGAGCATCCACAACTTCTCCAGGCAACCCGTGCCTGTCACAGAGAGAAGTGTTCCAAAATTGGATCCTGCCTCAGAAGTGATGGAAGATTTTTGGAACAGTACTAAATTATTAGGTGTGGATTTTACCACCACAGCATTACCTGGAAGGGGCCCTGCACTGCATGGTGGTCACAAAGCCAACTTTGCTATTATTGTGCCGGGTACCGCTATTTGCTGAGCCATGATGTATGGACAATAACTCATGCCTGTTAAAATCAGTTTTATATCATGTATTACTACAAAGTGTTGCATTTGAATTGACCTGGAAATCAATCAAATCCATAGAATTTAAATTTTTCTACAAGTCAATCAATTGCATAAAAATTACACTTAGATGATTAAATGCAGCTCTCAATGGTAAAAAGTCTTTGTGTAGTAATGCACATTTCTACCTACATCAGAAGCCTTAAATTAATTTTGTCCCTTTTCTTACTTTAATTCAAAATCCATTTCACCAAAGTTAAGTTTGAAGGAAAACTTTATAAATGCACTGTCAAGAGAGTTGATAAGGTTATAGCATGATTTGAAAGTATAGTCAGGAAGAACATATCAGCTCTGAACAGATTTATACATCTTTGAGGAAATTATTACTTTTGTTATATAAAAATATTTACACCAGCATATCTGATATAGGCACTTTAAGAAAAAAGAGGAAAAAAGTCAGGTAGACCCTGTGTCTTGCACAAGGTAACTAGTGAAGGAAAAACTAAGGCCTCAGGGAAAAAGTCTGTTTGCAGAAAATGTGGAGTGTTTTCAAACTTTTAGTGTTACCTTGATTAAAGAGTGTTGTATTTTCTGTTAATTAAAAGAAGTAAATGTATTTTAGAATTGTTCTTACAGTACAGATTTCAGATTAAAAAAAAGCTTACTCTTGCATTGATGGGTGAAGACCAATTGTATATTCTATTTCAGTAAAGAGAGAAGTGGAGGTGTGGTAAAGTCTAAATGAAACTGAAAAAATGCAGTCTTATCATTTCTCTCTGGGCAAGTGAAAATGTCACTCTCAAGGAAGAATTAAAACTAAAGGCACAGTCCTATTACTGTTGACTTTGATGAGACTTCTCAGTAAATTATTGACTGAATGGAATAATTCTGCCTGGGTCATTCTCAGGGGCAGAAACACATTTCTATCTCTCCACTTCTTACTTTCAGAACATACTTAGATAAAAATTATTACCTTCATTTCCCAGTTGTATTTTAATGAATTGCACCAGTCTGGAAAATTGCCAATGAATAAATATATATGGAAGATTGTATATATTTCTTAATATGTATATAAAACAGTTTTGCTCATCTGAACAACTTGTTGCACTTAAAAATGTTTACAGATTTAATGGAAAATGAGGAAGACAATTTATTTTCAGTCATCTATTGATATGTTACTAGTTTAACTGGATCTTGCACATCATTATTATCTATAACAATAAATCAATATTTTACCTCAAGTTACAAAGAGCATGAAGTGAGACCACGATGAATGTCAGCTGCAGAACAAACAACTGATTCCTGCTCCTTGTCTTGTTAGTAACACCTTCATCAGGTTAAGAACATGATGCAGCTGTGAAAAATTGGATACTGCTAATTTAAAAGCTGGAGTTGGAGGCTGAACCTGGAGGTGACACACTGTGTGACCCCCTGGACTTGGTCCCAGGGGTGGAACTGTCACATTCACTAACCATAGAGACTCTTGTGCTCAGCCCTGGGGGTTTTACTCCTTGTGGGTAGCTGGGAAGGGCCTATGGAATGTTGCTGTGATTCACTCACAGAATGAGTTAATCTCATGGGATAAACTCCAAATAGTTCAGTGGCTGCAGAATGAAGGCCTGAAATTGTGTATAAAGGGGAGAATTCTTTGGGAGAACAAAGTAAAGATGGCCACAATAACAGCATTTTTAAAAATAATATTTTATGTCTGAAATACATAGCAACTAGTTGTACTCCTCTGTAAACCTACTGAGGTTCCCTTTACCTACAGTCATGTGATAAGATCAGCTAAATGCATGTGAAATGATAGTAGACACAATTATAAGTGAGGTCTGTTAATACCAGATGTGTTTTATTTAGAATCTAATGAACAGTGAGGTCTTGTTCAAGGAAGAAAAAAAAAAAA